TTCGGGGGACAATGGGAGGGCAAAGGGCCTGGCATTCCTGAGAAGCAAGACTAGGGTTGACTCCTAGCTGTCCGTCTTTTCTGGGCTTCACCTGTTTCCTTTGTCCGCCAGATGGGGCCCCAGGGCCCGGGAAGGCCCCCTGGCCAGGAGACTTTGGGACCACAGCAAAGGAGAGTGGTGGCAATGGGGCCTCTGAAGAGCGGCTGTGGGAGAATGGAGATGCCCTGCCTCGGGAGGGGTCCTTGGGGCCCCTTCCCGGCCCCTCCGCCCAACCCCACAAAAGTGAGTGGACTCTGCCCGCTGTTCTGCTCCCTGCCAACCACCTCACGCCTCACATTTCCCTGCAGCTAGTGGAGCCGTCTGGGGCAGTGCCATGCTGCTGTTGCCTGTTGCTCATGCTCCCTGCCCTCCCTGCCACAGGCATCCTCAAGAAGAAGTGTCTGCCCACCGTCAGTGAGAAGAGCAGCCTGCTGCGACTACCCCTGGAGCAGGGCACCGGGTCTTCTCGGGGCTCCTCAGTCAGCGAGGGCAGCCGGGGCATGCCCCCTCCCCGCCCTCCACTGCGGCAGAGTCTCCAGGAGCAACTGAATGGGGTCATGCCCATCGCCATGAGCATCAAGGCAGGCACAGTGGATGAGGACTCATCAGGCTCCGAGTGAGTGTGGCCAGGAGGGCGGGACAGGGTGTGGCCCCGGAGGCCCTGGTCGGGCTGAGCCACCTCCGGGCCTCCCAGGCTGTGCAGGTTGGCATCCAGTGGACAAAGGGGCTGAGGGTGGCCCAGTTCCCTTATTGTGACAGCCTGCAAACCATGGTGCCCTATTGCGTCAGCCCCGCCTAGCATCAGGCAAAGAGAGGGAGGGTTGGGGCTGGGGATGCTTTTCTGTTTTCTTCTTCTGGTGAAAGCTTCTCACCATCTTCTCTGCTCCAACTAATCTTCTGTCTGGCTTTTCTGTCACTTTCCTTTCCTGCTTCTCCAGATTTCTCTTCTTTAACTTCCTGCATTAATCTTGGGCCGGTGTCCTACACCCTGAGGCTCCCTTATCTTCCCCTGCTGCACTTATGACCCCACTCCTGTCTTGTGCTTTATCCTGCCCCTGCTCCCCACCGCCTGCCTGCCGCAGCTACGAAACATCCATCTGAGGAGCCTGGGCCTTGCTTGGAAGGGCCGCACCCCACCCTCCCCTCCCAAGGCCACCTAGTGCCAACTCCCTCCCCCCCGCCATCCCCCCACTGTACTTTGGACCCCTGGGGCCAACATCTCCAAGACAAAGTTTTCAGAAAAGAGGAAAAATGAATTTTAAAAAGGATCTCCACTCTTCATGACTTCAGGGATTCATTTTTTTTATATGCTGGAAACTGACTCCCCTTTCCCTTCCCAAAGAGGATAGGACCTCCCAGGATGCTTCCCAGCCTCTCCTCAGTTTCCCATCTGCTGTGCCTCTGGGAGGAGAGGGACTTTTGGGGGGCCTGCCCCTCACTTGCCATCACCAAAAGCAAAGGACGAAGCCACACGCACCCGGGGCGTCGGGCCCTGCAGGCTGCAGCTGGGCGGGCCTCCATGCGGCAAGGGAGCCGGGGCCAGGGCCCTCCTCGGCCAGCCTGTGCCGACCCTCCCAGGAACTGAAAAAGCCCTTTCTGGCGAGGGGGCAGAAGGACTCAGCGCCCCGGCCCCCCAAATGCTGCATGAACACATTTTGAGGGGAACCCGTGCCCCGGGGTGACGGCCGGGCCACCCCAGCCCCTCTCCTTTCCCTGGACTCCAGCCATGTGCTGCAGCCCAGGCATTTGCTCAGTTTGCTGACCCAAAAGTGCTTCATTTTCCTGCCTGACCCCCACTGGGGAAGGCCAGTCATGTGTTCAGTTGCGCTTCTTTGCCGTGGCCTGGGTGGGGTGGGAAGGTGAGCACAGTGCTGGCCCGCTGCCCTCGGGCTGTCCCAGGCACAGGTGTCAGTCTGGGTTCCGGGGTCTGCTTGCCCACCCAAGGTCAGACAACCCCACTCTGCCTGACCTGCTGTGGCCTCTGAGACATGTTCTATTTTTAACCCCTTGTGGAAATTGGCTCTCCTCTTCCAAGGACCAGGTCCCATTCCTCTTTTTCCCCCTCCCCTACATACCCAGCTCCCTGTGAAGAGAGAGTTAATATATATTTTTTATTTATTTGCTTTTTGCGTTGGGATGGGTTCGAGTCTGGTCCCAAGGGGTCTGATGTGGCCATGACAAATTGGGTGAGTGCCCAGCAGTCCTGGTGTGGGGGCCTGAGGCCTTTCCCCTTGCTCCAAGCTGCCATCTCCCCGCCTCCCCCTACCCCCACCCTCAATTTTGCCGACTGCTATTCATTTGAGTCACCATTTACGCAAGCATGTATTCCAGACTTGTCATTGCGTATCCTCTGGAGCAGGTAGCCAGAAAAAGGATATGGGTGGAAAAAAATGTCCCTGTTTCTCATTTGTAAGGCTGGTCTTTGACTTTTCTGCTGTCAGTTCTCTCCCTGATACCTCCCCTCAGCAATTCCTGCAAAGGGTTAAAAATTTAACTGGTTTTTACTACTGATGACTTGACTTAAAAAAATACAAAGATGCTGGATGCTAACTTGATACTAACCATCACATTGTACAGGTTGATTGTTACTGTAAATATGGTAGGGTTTTGTGTTTGTTTTTTCATTTCCCCATACTACTGAATAAACTAGTTCTGTGCGGGCTGAGCACTGTCAATAATGTGCTTCTGTGTGGTGCCCTGTCCTTTCAGAGGGAGGGAAGGACCTGGTCCCTGGAAAACAAGAGTAGGTAGGGCCCTGGAAGGGCCAGGAGGTCAGGGGACTCAGATACTAAGTGGCTGATGAGCTAGTCCCTCTACTGACACTCCAGCAGAAGTCCCCAGAAGGCCTCATCAGCACAAGTGCTCAGGTCCTGGCATTCCCAAGGAAGACGTGGCAGATGGCAGGAAAGTATCCTTTTCACCAGGCCAGGAGGGACTTGTACGGCTGGAGAGGCTGCACAGAACAGGCAGGTTTCAAGCCCTGTTGAGTCCTGGGGGCAGAATTCAGGAGGTGGGGTGGGCTGAGTTGAGAGGTTAGTGGGAATTTAAAGGTGCTTCATGACTAGGCACCTCTTAACTCTACTTCTCTGGGCCACTTTGGTTTTTTTTTCCCATTGGAAATGAAGCAGCTACTCCATACTCTAGCCAACTATGTGTTCTACAGCATTACTTCCATTCCCAAGTTTTGTGTTTTTGAAGGTCTATTCAACAAATTAGATAGGGAGTCAACATGGGGGCAAGAGAGGGTAGTGATTAAGAACACAAACCCTGGAACCAGACTGAGTGACTTAATCTCTCCCAGCCTTAGTTTCTCTGCCTGCAAAATGAGGATAATAACATCTGTCTAATAGAGCTTTTATGAGAATTAAATGAGTTAACACATGTAAAGTGCTTAAACAGTTGACAGTGCATAGTAAGAGGCCAATAAATGTTGGCTTTCTTTGTTGTCACTACTGGGTGGGGGTGGAAGTAGAGTGCAGAAAGAAAGAGAAAAAATAGAAAGCCAGACTAAAAGGGAAGGAAGCAGGTAGTTGAACAAGAAAGGCAGCTGTGGCAAGTAGGCCTCCTCCCTAGCTGGCACTGCCTACTGAATGTTGCTTAAGTGGGTTTGGGCCAGGGGTGGAGGAGACCAAAACTCAAGGCTGACCAAGAGTGAGAAGAATGTCTTGTCCTCTCCAGCCACCAGATGGCAACAGCAATGGGTCTGCATCTTACATTGCCTCCCAGGCCACACAAACATGCCACCTGCTGGCCACACCTACGTGCGCGCCTGCACTCCACACCTTCCAGTGCTTCTGCCAGAGCAAGTCATCACCAACAGGCCCTGCTCACTAGCCACCAGGGCTGGAAAGCACCTGAGATTTTCTTGCTTCTGCAGAATTTCTCCAGAGCTAAATAGTATTTGTCTCCACATCCCCTCAATCTCCAGGTCAATTCTTGGAATCCTAGAGGCTGTAGGAGTTGCTCTGAGAGGCTCAGGGGATAGGTGACTATCTGGGCAGCTGTCACTGTGATATAGCGGAATGTGTTAAATGAACCTTAAGATCAGCCATAAAAAGGAAAAGAAAGTAGTGGAGGGCTCTGGACGCTGGAGCAGGGGAAGGTGCTTTACTAGGGGGCTTCTGGGCACGTAAGCATGCGGGAAGGGGCACCAACTGGTACCCACTCCTTTGACAAGTTTTCTGCTGGCTTCCTTAAGTCCTGCCCAGGCCTTCAAGGAGGGAAGTTCTCTCAAAACTCACAAGGAATTGAATTGGTTCTGATTACAGGAGTCAAAGGCCATGAGAAAAGGAGACCCTTATTTAAATCTGCTAAATGAGTCTTTGTCATTCATAAACAAACACCCACCTCTTTGCACTCAAATATTCTTTCAACAAATGAATAAAAGTCTCTGCCACATAAAATCACAGCACTAGGCATCACACAGGTTTGTAAGTCTTGGTGCCAGCCTTGAAGCCTAGGAGGTGAGAACAGAACACCAACAGTTCTAGTGATGTAAGGTAGAATGTGACCACTATCTTCTGCATCAGGTAATCAGTGATACTAAATTCCAGGGTGGTCCCCAAAGGGCTCCCTCAGCCCACAAGTACAGCAGACAAGATGCTGAGGAGTTCCTTGGAGGCTCTGTTCTCTTGCCAGGAAGTACACCCAGGTTGAGGATATAAGTAACAATTTTACCAAGACCCTGGCTTGACAGACTCACATACTATGAATTAAGCTATACTTAACTTGATCTGGACCTACTAGTAACATACGAATCCTGGGAAAGGGCAGCCTGTTACCACATAATGTGAACAACAGGATTAGTGACAACCCGATTTGCTGTAATCTCATAGATTAGGGCATATTCAGGCCCCTTGTCGGGAAGCCAATCCTGGCTCCCTCACTGTAATTACACAAAAGAGTACTCCAAATTTATGAGAAATTGGAAGTGGCATTTACTTTCACATACAGAGAGAATATAAAAATATATTCATTTTATTTTAGAAAAACACAGACTAATGGAGTAAGCTTATCATAAACTGGCCTGTTGTGAGTCACAGAATTCACAGGAAACAAGTTCTGAAGACCAGGTGTCTGCATCTGTCTCTCTAAATAAGCTGAGTCCAGTAGAGGATGTGGTTTGGAAGAACGGCTCCTAGGGAAGCAGGGAGTTTAGCTACAGAGGTCATTCACATGTACACGTCCAGTGAACCAATGCCTGGGAAGAAGATCAAACTCTGGGGCTGAACGTGAAAGTGAGGCTGGATGAGGACAAACCTCTCTCCTGCATCTCTCATTTCTGTTCAGTTTCACTGCTGGGAGGTGACTTCTTTTTCCTAATTATCTTTCAACCCAAAGAGTTCAATTCTCCTCCAGCTCAGTCCTAATCCACCCCAGCTCTCATGGTCTCTACTCAAGTGGCTTCTCTTCCTCCTGTTCCTGGGCCAATGAGAGGCTTTGGGAGGCCAAGTAAAGGTGAGTCCAGGCAGCGACTGTAGTGGTTTGCTACTGAATTTTTGTTTGCTGTCCTGATCTCTTTACCTAAAGAGACAGAAGGTGAAACTGCTTTAAACTGCCCTTCCTCAAACCCATTTGTCACCCAACTGAATTCAAGTTTCTCAGAGTAGGAAGAAATGGGACTCTCTGCCCCACCAAGCTCCCCTTTCTCATCCCTATCTTGCCACACAGGATTCAGGGCTGATGTACATAAAAGCTTGGAAGCACAGATGACAGGGGGGAGAGAGACGTCTCAACCAGTTTTACCTGGTAGGTCCTGGGACTGCAACTTTCCTGGGGGCCTGCAGATTGCTGCGAGCAGCACCAGCAACTGGGAGATTTGGTCGCTGGGAAACAGGAACTTGATAGGGGTTAACAAAAGATATGAGTTAGCAGAAAGTTCAAGTGACCGTCTCAAAAAGAAATACCCAAAGAGGTGGAGTGAGTTTGGGATTAGTGCCTTTCCTCTCACCTAAGGCCAAAAAAATAAGGTATTTGAAAACCAAGCCTCAAACTCTTTGCCCAGACCCACCCCCCCGTCCTTAACTCAGTCTCCCCATCTCCAAGTCCATTGGTAAGGAAGATGGAGAAAGTGGTCACTGTTAGCAGCTCTGGGAGGGTGTGGTCAAGTTGGGCAAGGGTAGGTATTCCCCCCCTTACTTCTTTCCCTTATATCCGTTCTTCCTCACCTCTGTGCCCTGCAGCACTTGGTCTTGGAAGTCCTTTCCGGGTTGACAGAGAATCTGGAGGTGGAGCACCTTTGCTGGGTGGTACACTCCGGCTGGTGAGTGGCATTCGGCTGGCAGGTCTTGGGATGGCTGAGGGAACAGGGAGTCGACTGGAAGGCTTAGCAGCTGCTCCCGGTGTTCGAGACAGGTGCTGAGAGCTGCTGGTAGGAGGCTGTGGGACCGAGACTGGTCTGACAGGGTTAAGTGGGCCTGGTGGAGAGGGGGAAAGGAATTTTAGGGTGAGCACCACACCTTCCCTGTTCCCAGTCACCCCAGCTTGGCTGCCAGGCCTTCTCACTTGCTGGTGCTCTCCCACAGGGCCCAGCTTTGCCCCGGATTGGAGGAGTTGATCGGGCGAGAGGAGTAGATGCTGGGCTTTTGGATGTGGGGAACAGATTGCAAGTGGGTGACTCCTGAAACAAGAAGAGAGAGAAAAAGGACTAAAATGGGAAAAGAATCTGTTCTGCTGCCTGGTTCAGGGATGGAGTTGTAGAGCTGCCTGGGTCCCAGAAAGGAAGGGCAGAAGGTAGCTGCCGACATCACCACCACCACCACCAATACCATTTACTGAGAGCTTACTATAGACGTTATAGAGCTGTGCACAGACACTGTGCTGAGTGCTTTGCTTACGGTGTCTCATTCAATTCTAACAGTTCTGAGGTAGAATTCTGCTATCCTCATTTTACCAATGAGGAAACCACACTGTGCCTGTACCAACAGAGGCAGGCACTGTGTCTGGGGCGCACATCCAACCCTGAACCCTAAACTCACCCTCTTCATGCCGGAGGGCCTCTTTCCACCTGCTGCCCGGAGAGCCTTGACTGACCCCTTCCTATTACTGCTCCGGAGCCGAGGTGTCAGGCTGCTTGGGGAGGGCGTGCTCCATGCCAAAGAGCTCACAGTAGGCAGCAAGTCTCGGACAGGACTGTCCTTCAGCACAAAGGTCTCCCGCCGGGGGCTGGGCTTCACCTTGCGAGGCCCGGAGCCCTCACCTGCGCTCCCCCGCTCCTGCAGGGCACAGCGCTCCAGGTGAGCTGCCAGCCGGTTGGCCTCGTCAAGGATCTCCTCCAGCTTCTCTGGGCTGAGAGGGCCTAAGCTGAGCTTCAGACCCTGTGGGGCGGGGGCCACTGCATTTGGGTCACTTCGGTGGGAGAGGCCTCTTCGGATGGGTTTCTCTGGAGTCATCAACACTGCCATGTCTTCCTCCTCATGACTGAGACAGAAACCAAACCAGGCACCATGCCCACATGAAAGAGAGTAGGAAACTGGCAAAACCCCTCACAGCAGAGCCAGGGACAACCCCCAAGTCCTGGTGCACATGCTGGCTGTCAGATACGGCTTCTGAGTGATGAGACACCTGGTTCTGTGAGGCCTGATGGGCCCTTAGCATTTAATGACATTGGAAATTATGCCGCCATGAAGATGCTGCAAATCCACTTACCCCTCTTCTTAACACCCTGAAATCCCATTCCAGCTTATCCCTTCTCCCCTTCCCCAGTAGTGTCATAGAGGCCCAAGTCATCCAGCCACCTAGCAGCCCCAGCACACCCGACCTTGATAACCCAACCTCAGAGGCCAATAATTCATCCGTAAGGGTTAGAGACAAAGAGGCAGTTGGAGGAAAGTAAGTAGCATAAAGAGGCTGGTACCTGTCAGATGGTGACAGTCCTCCAAAGTCCAAAGTCTCATCCACTATGAACTTTACATCTGTATGGAGTAAAGAATGAATGCCAGCCTTAGGTCCCTACCACAGCTCTCAATCGCGGGCGCCTCATTCTACCCTCCAGGGTTTCCTTACCTTCCTCCAAACCTTCCATGTTCCAGCCAGCAGGATCAAGAGTCAGCTGAGACCTTTACTGGAGAGACAACATACCTTTCTTCAAGTCTCCATCCTGCCCAAGGCTCCCAGCTGGACTCAAGGTGCAAGCCAGGGGTCTGGGGTCATTTTGGAGAGAAAGCAAATGTCCCAGAAGTAGCAAATGACCTTAACTACCCCTGCTACCTCCCGGGAAGGTGCAGAGAGCTCCCTGCACCCATCCCTCTGCGCAGCCCGCCCTCCCGTCGCCTGACGATCTGGCCTCTCCTCACTGGGGGCGATCTGAATGCCCCATCTTCCTCCCCGCCGCCATCCTTTGGCTTCTCCCGCTCCCCAAGCCACCTTTCCATACACCCACGGCACCACAGCCACAGGCTTCTCCCGCTCCCCAAGCCACCTTTCCATACCCCACGGCACCACAGCCACAGCACACCTCCAGCCCACCCTTAGTTTTCCCTTCCCACTATGCCTCACCTCCCGTGGAAGGTGCTGTCTTCCCTAAGCTAGTCCCGGGAATCAGCACCGAGGGGGCGGGGCTCCTTTCGAATCTCTAAGGCCCCACCTACAACTACCACATGCGGGCAATGATTGGCGGAGCCCTAGGGGCCGGGGCTCCGGCGGGCATGCGGCCGGAAGTCGGCTGGTGGCGAACTGTTCCAAAAGACTCCATCCGGGCTGAAGCGGGGAAGGTACGCACGCGCGCACGCCCGGGAGACCGTCCTTGCAAAGGACCGAGGCCCGTGTGTTTCGCGCCCTGCCTACCCCGTCCGCCCCCTCCTTCTCGTGCTTGTCGCGGCGGGGTTCGCCGGCCCCGGCTTCTGTGCACTCGCGCCGACTGGGGGGGACTGGCTTGGTTACCTAAGGTCCCTCGCAGCCATCGGCCCTAAAACTCTGAGGAAATTGGTTTCCTTGGGCTCATTCCAGATGCACGCGCCGCATTTGCCAGAGTTCCTAGGTTGTGATTTTTCAAATTACAGAAACGCCCTTACATTTATATGTTAAGTAAATCGAGGTTCTCTAAGGAAATACACCTATCAGTTTTTTAAGCGAGAAAATTTGGAACCTGAGCCAGCCAACGTGTAAAGAAAACAAGGGGTTTTTCGGACAGGGAGATATGGGTTCGAATTCCACCGTGGCTCTGTTTACAAACTCCAGAGGCTTGAATGTATTTGACCTCTCTACGCTTATATTTGACCCCTTGCTTATCTGAAGCGAGGATCGCGACCTGTAATCACAGTTACATGGTTAAGAAGGGTGATGATGAATATCAAGTTTTATACTGTGTGCCTTACAGGCTATTGAGGGTTGTTTGTAACTACCTCTAAACTAGAAGCTGTGTTTGTAAAATGCCTCCACCAATTAATAGAGCTTCTTAGAAATGTTCTAAAATCTTACAGTAAAAGGTCTCTGAAAGATTGCTGAAGAGCTTTAGTTTCCAGAGTTTATGGCCATTATTTGGGGGCATCTATAGGCTTGTTTACTTCCTAGTTGTTAGCTGTGAATTTGAGATGGGGTGGTTTGCAGGAGCGAGATGTTACTGTAATAAATCCCACAGGAAGCAGAGGGATTTAGTGGGTGATAAGGGAAAGGGTGAGGAGGCCCAGAACTTGCAAGCTTATGTGAAGAAGAGCTGAGAGAAGAGGACTGCCTCTTTTTCCACAGCTTGCTGGTAAAGGTGGAATTTTAGTTGCTTGTAGGATTCAAGTTCTATGGAGGTGGGAAAACCAGAGCCAGTAGCTTCCCTCTCTCCAGGCAGGTAGTGGTAAAGTGGAGATCAGAGGGTAAGAAGTTGCTAATAAACTGCATGCCTTCTTCCCCTTGGAGCAGCCTGACTAGGGAGACCCTGCATTTACTACTTCACCCACCTTCAGGTGAATGGAGGAGGAAGATTTAGCGACCTGGAAGTTAGTTTCTCCTAAGGAAACATATCTCCAATTTTCTATCACCCAATTATTTTGAAAAGCTAGATTTTGGAAGTTGTTTCTGGTACTAGAAAAAAAGCTATAGAACAATTCTTTCCTCCATCAGAATGGCAGCAAAGCCAGAAAATATAGATCTCAGGTACAAGAATTCTTTACTCAGCACAAGGCCACTAATCTGGGAAATATTTGTCCCCCTCAGCTCAACCCCAAAATGATACAGGTGTTTAAGATTTTGGATAAATATGAATGAATGAAGAAGCTACACCCCCTCCCAGGCACATCGTAGGCCTTAGCTCAGAGGGTACACCACAGTGCTAAATGCATAAATGACAAAATTAAGGATTCTAGTACAGTTCTCCTTGAATGCAGAAAGATTAACTGTGACTGGAGGTGGTCTTCAGTGTGAATATTTTATTCCTTCACCATGCATGCTGAGAATATATGAACTGATTCCAACCCAGACCCATTACCCTGGCAGTCACTGAGTGAGAGAGAGGAGAAGAAATAGGGAAGGCATGGAGTTAAACAGGCCTTGTTCAAATCTTACCAGCATGACTTGGAGAAATTTATAAGTTTCAATTCCTCATTTGTAAAATGAAGATAAAAGGAGATAAAGCCTGACCTTCAGTGTCTGATGCAGAGAAGGCAGTCTCAGTTATATGTTACTGTATAACAAACCACCTAAACATTTAGTGGCTTGAAATAACAGCAACCATTAATCTGCTCATAATTTTAGAACTTGGATAGCGCTATGCAAGGACAACCAGTCTCTACCCACAAGGAGTAGACTGGGCTTGACTAGGGCAGAAGTGTTCAAGGGGGGCACACACGTGTAGGCTGGTGGTGCTAGCTGTCAGGTGGGAGGCTTGGTGGTCCTCCAAGTGGCCTCTCATAATTTAATAATCTATCCTGAGATATGTGGGAGCTGATTCCAAAAGTAAAAGCAGTAACCACTGGATCTCCCAAGATCTAGGCCCAGACCTGGCACAGCCTCACCTCCACCACATTCTTTTGGACAAAGCAGGTCACAGTGTCAGCCCAAATTTGAAGAGAGGAGAAACAGACTCCAACCTTTGATGGGAAGAGTACCACGCCCATCCTAGAAGAGGAGGAATTGTCACTATCCTCTGTGGATTCCATCACTGAATGCCTTCGATATCTTATAATAAGAATAAAAACATGTACAGCAAGGGCCCCTCCCCTCTGCTATTTCCCCAGGGCTGACTAAGGCTGGGCTCCAGTTGCTTCAGTGTCTCCCAGCCCTCAGGTCCTAGTGCTCTGTCTTTAGTTAGCAATGTATGTGTTTATGTGTCTGTGATCTCTGTCTCTGTGACAGATGTGCATCCTGCCTTCCAGCTTACACTGGAAAACGCAGAGAAGGAGAGAGCAAGCCATTTCCTGTATTTCTTTCAGCACCCAGTACTGTATAAAGTTAAACTCAGCTCTGTCACAGACTGTCTAGAGAAAAGGAGTATGTTAGAAACTTCTGTAGAAGACAATGTAGATATGGGAAGAGAAAGAGGAGTCTGAGGACCTGCAGATTCCATACAGTCTGGCTAAAGAATTCCAACTTTCTAAATTTTCCCCATCTAGAAAATCTCAAACAGATGGACACTTATGCACTAAGGATCCACACATTTATCTAGATTAGGCCACACTGGATACTGTGCTGGAGCTCCTTAAGAACACATTATCGCCATAGTCAGGCTTCCTGGGGGCACAGTAAAGAGGGTAATATGTGGCCATAACAGCAGACAGCCTGAGCACATCCAGGTGGCTGAGGCAGTCTCTGGGTCCTGTGAATCATCTACTTAGCCTGCTTCATTGCTGGGCGCTGGCTGGGAGATAGGTCAAAGGGCAACCAACACTAATAAGGCTAACACCAACACAACACAACACAACATGAGCAGAAACATTAGCACAGAGTGGGCACTAAGCAGTGGCAAGAGACCTATCTTTGCAAGCCAACTGTCAGAGAGAGATCTCCAGAGAAGTCTGCACTTTTAATGCATCCCTTAGGGTTTTCATTTGCTATATATCAATGATAGGCTTAAATAAATGGCTTCTGGAATGGAATTCATGCTCAATTTTCATCAGCCAGGAGCTGCAAGTCAGAGGAGAAACAGGGAACCAGTTCTTTTTAATTCTCTCATGAGCTACTTCTTCACCTCACTTATCAGTTTGTACACTTTCTCCTGTGAGTGATTTAGCATCTGAAGGAGCTAGCCAATTCTAAATGATGATCAGAGTTGCCCTTTGCCAATGTGCTGCTTGGGACCACATACCCTCATATTCAATTATTATTGATATATAATAATTCCTTAAAATGAAGGAATCCATAAAATTCAAAGTAAAAACCAAGAAGACTAATCTTTTTCTCAGCACTGATGATATTGAGATGGAGACCCTTGACTGACAGGAACAGCTTCCTCTCCTTTCCCACGCTGCTGTCATGGCGGTGATGACCCTCATCCATCCCCCACTGCTGACTGCCCCCCTGCCACCTTTTCGTACAGTACTGTCCCCCCTCCCCCAGAACCCCTTTACAATTAGGCTGATGCTATCACTCTTCTTCAAGGTTTAATTCCTGTCTTCAGGACAAATGTAGACTTTATCTATGGTCAATTCCCTCCACGAGGATGAGAGTATTAGCTTACCAAAAAAAGTGGTTAAAATAAAAGTGGTCACCAGTGAGAGCATGGTTGAAATGCTCAGGAATACATATCTGTCCCAGACTTGAAAATAGCCATAAATATGAAATATTTCATTCAGAGGCTCTGTCCCTCTTTCCTCACCTTTGTCAGAGTTGCCATTTCCTTGGGGAGCCTCACTGAGGAGCTGCAAGAATTCAGACATTTCTCAATGTTAACATCTCAGAAATCTCTCAGAACCCTTCTTCTGGAGCACTGGAAAGGGGTATACTTCTCCGGTTTGGGAGTGTCCACGGTGGCAGTTAGCAAGCAGTCTGCACCTAGGGAAGAACAGCACGAATGGCAGCCCACTCATCCCTGACTCACAGTATGTACACTTAGAGAGTGTCCACTGTGGGTTAGAGACTGGGCTTGGCTTGACCCTGCAGGGGCAAAGGAAATGACTGTCCAATCCTTCCTGATGGCAAAGCAGATCAGTAATGTGATGGACATCTCACAGGGTGACAGGACATAGATAAATGAATGAATACTCGAAAAGAGGCAGAGAGGATGTGCGATACTCTCTTTTAACAAGCCAGAGGGGAAAGTCTTCTGGTTTGTTCAAAAGCCCCCAATGAACAGCAGAAGCTTTCCTGGACTGATTCAGCAGATGGTATAATTTAAAGAAAAACAATCTGGGTGAGGACGGGGAGAATTGGGCTCTTTCCATCTTCATGCCAACACCTCAACTAACCAACGCTGGAAATCTCAGGTTAACCAATTGCCTCCCTGTGCTTCAGATTTCTCCTTTGCAAAATCGAAATAGCTAGCTATTCTTCCCATAGTATAGAATTATGATGGAGAGAAATGAGATAGTGGATAACAAAAATGGCTCCTCAAACACATCCTGATGATGACAGTGCTGAGAAGGCCTTAAGGGGAAAGCACAGCGAGCTCTTCTTGTCCAGGCTGTGTCTACCCCCGACTCTCCCAGCCGTGGAGAGAAATGACTCACCTCAAGGCACAAGTTCTGCCCTTGTCTTTCATATCCTCTGGCAGCCCAACAATGCCTCCCGGGGGGCTCCCCCGTCAAAGGGACCAGGCTTGCGGATCTCTAGGGAGCAGATTCCCAGGTGAGACAGGGCTCTGTGTGTGGGGTTGCCTTGGATGTCCATCTGGTTCTTCAGCCAGATGATATGGCTGGAAGATAAAGATGAGGGGGCCACAAAGCATGGGGAGAACCAATTGTTCTTTCTGTGCTCAGTCGCTGGGACTCTTTGCCTAAGAGGCCTGGGAAAACTGAGCAAGAGGAGCAGGGGGCGTAAGGATCTTGAAGAAAGCTTCTGGAAAGCCCCCCATCCCTCACATGGGGGCAGAGGTCCCCTTCCACATCCTCAACAGCCTCCTGGGGTCCTTCTCTTGGTTGAAAAGAGACCCTGAAAGCTCATCTTGTCCATCCAGTACTCCTGACTGGAAGAAAGGTAGTAACACGTGCTCCACCCTGCTGAAGCTGCCCTTGAAAAGGGATCCTAAGCACTGGGCAGCAGGACCTCCTCCTTTTTGTATGTTCACTGTTGAATCACTCATATTCCATTCCCACCGTTGGTTTGGGAGTTTCACCTGTCTCCTCTGGTTAGGAAGTAGTAACTAGAGTGGGCTTACTGATGTTTTCTTTCTGAGACGCTACCCCAGGACTCATCATGGAAGGTACTGATGAGGGGGTTAGCCATGCTCTATGCCGGGCAGGGAGCCCAGTCAGTTGGCTGTGAACAAGCAGAGAGCCTTGCTGAGGGCTGTGCCAAGGGCTCAACACCAGACAGCTGGCCCGGGGGCGGCCGTGATCAGGTGACGTGTCAGGGGTGAGTGAGGAGAACCAGTGGGCCTCCGTCTACCACAGCCAAAGGGGCAACTTGAAGCTCCTGCCCTGTGCCAGCAGGTCAGTGACATCTTCATGCATGCGAAACAAACGCTAAAAGGAAAACTGGAAACATCCTCTTCAGCCTGTCTTGGACTCCAGGTGCCCGGCTGTTCCTGCACGACAGCTGTGGTGCAGGAGGATGTGATGGGCACAAAGGTTCTGGTTAGGGCAGGATAAGGCAGCAGCATGGCACGGTCACCCCCACAGAACCCGCCCCTCACCCTGGGAGAGGTGCCGACTCCCCAGAAGAGCTGGGTGAACTTTGGGCTTTGTAACAGCCTAGGGGGCCAAGGAGGGCTGGGCTGTAGTGCTTGAGACCCCCATCCCTCTTTCACTTTATCCTAACTCTTCCCAGCTCAGGGTCCCTGTGCCTTGCCTGCATTCTGGATGTGGGCAAGGTGGGCAGTGGTGGGGGCTGTCTCCCTGAGCCCGTGGTGGTTCTCACCAGACTTGAAATGCAAAGGAGCTGTCGATGAGGAGGTCGGAGACTGTGAAGCAGGTGGGGTGATAACAATCTGAAACCACAGCTCCAGGCCCAAGAAGCTGCTGTACACGAGACACCTGTTCTGTGAGCTCGCTCCACCTCACCCCCGCTTCCATGTGGGGCTAACAGAGCCCCATTCTGGAACGTGCTATTCCTCCCTCCCAGCTGGGCCTCACCCCAGATTTGTGTGGGCCTTCCACACTGTGTAGCCTAGGAGCACCACACTGCCCATGTCTTGCGGAGATGTCCACCCAGCACAGCACTGGAGCCCTGAACGTCCACCAGCTTGATACTCCCAAGAGGGCCTGGCCTCTCCAAAAGGGCCATGCATGGTGATGGGCATGGTACACCCCTATGCCTGGGAATCACATCAGGATTCTCCTTCCCCTTTCTGCTTAGCTCCCCTCCCTCCACCCACCACTGCCTCTGCATTGTGTTAGGGGCAGTCACCCCAGCTCCCCAACTCTCACTGATGGCTCGTCTTCAGCCTGGGGAGGGGGCCCCTGCGGACCACCCCATCTCCCTGTTCCCACCATATCGATCACCAGGATGCCAATGGTGTCAGTGGCCTCCAGCCTGCTCAGCTGCACCCCGAGCTGGAAGTGACTTCGGTCAGCATATTAGGCTTCTCAGAGGAAGAGGATGGAGTCCCGCTCTCCATTCCACACGTTCACTCGCTAGCATCCAAGGTGCAGCTGTCACATGTCCAGGAGGCTGGAGGTCTGGGTTTGCCCTGAGAAATGGGAATAAGGCTGTGAGCAGCCCTGTGAGACCTGCTGGCCCTCCCTGCTGCGGCGGGATCAGATCCAGCTCAGGGTCCTGTGGTGACTTGACTCGCAGCTGCAAATTCCTTGAGTTGGAAGTCAGTGGACTCTCCCAGGGACTTCTGTTTCAGCAACAGCCTAAGGATCATGAGAAAGGGGGATGGCTTTGAGTCTCCTGCCCTGAGAGTTTAGGTCACAGACACCCAGGGCAGTTGGGAATGACAATAGCTGCCAAGCTCCCGTAAGGCCTCCAAACTGAGAGCTTCCAGGCCTCTACTGACAGGGCATGCTGAAGGGCATGGCTTAGCCTCACCTTGTCACAGGGGGCATGTCCACCCCAAGGCGAACCCACCCTCAGGAGCACAGAGGGAAGGGTTATCAGCCTCAGACTTCTGGTGACATGTCCCCCTCCATTTAAGGCCAGGACGACTGGGCCAGTGCTGGCAGGACTCTGGGTATCTGCTTCCAAATCAAAACCCGGGCCTCGTCCCAGCCAGGAGCCAGCATGGGACCGGCATGGCCACCTGGAATGGGATTAATAGGTTCAGAGTGTCACCAACCTTCTGATGTAGGTCTGCCTCAGGGCCCTAGGTAGCCAGATCTTGGAACATTCAGAGTGATAGAGAGAGAGAACAGGGTGGGTAGTGAGCCTCCCGTGGTGGGAAGAGCAGGGCTCAGAGCAAGTGGAGACTGCGTCCAGCTGCACTCCCTCGGCAGGTGACCAGGCATCACCCAGCAAACTAAGCCCTCTCCTAGGAATGGGAAGATTGCTCCCATCGCCTTGTGGGATTTAGGATGAGCCACTGGCAGAAGGATCCTCTCAAAAGCATGAAAGTCTTGGCAGAAAGAGGGCCTGGAGTTCAAGCCTGACACTTCTTTTACTTTATAGCTCTCAACTGACTTGTCACGAACTGAAGTTTCTTTTTTCTGTTTGTGCACAGAGCAGTCCAGTCTGTGTGGTTTGTGTATTACCCCTTTCCTGCATTTGTTCTTAATAACAACACCCTTTATCAGGCTACTTTTCATCCTGACCTCCAAGTGTCAGCCCTGCTCCCCAGTTAGGGGCCAGACTCGAGGAGAAAGCTTTCCATTCTGCAGGCAGAGTCAACCCCCTGGACTAGGACAGCATGGACATCATTGCAGAGGGTGCTGGCGGCTGGCTTCGTCTGCGTGGCCACCCGGATGGGCTCCTGCATCATGCTCTTCCAGTCTGTGGAGGGTCATTTTGTACAAACAGAATCTGGGAAAGATTAGGTCCATACTCACTTCCCCTTGATCTCCCAGGCGTGTTGCAGGGAGAAGAGAGATTAGATTGTGTTTATTGTTTCCAGAATGAAGACAGGAGATGCTCAGGAAATGCCGCGTGTAAGGTTTGGAGAATGACCAGGTGTACTCTCTCTCCTGGGATGCCTCAGGCTGCCTTGGCTGAGAAAGTGCACACATCCCACCAGGGGTCCCTTGGGGACCTGGCTGAGACCGACATCATTTTCTCAGGCAGAGACTGTCCCTTGTTGCTGTTGTCGTAAGTAGAACGTGACAGCACCTGAGTTCCCACCAACTTCCTGGGCGCCCCCCATAATGCACCCAAGCAGCTGGAAAGATACCACCCCACTGTGGCAAGCCCCACAGCTGCTGGGTAGTGGATTCCAGAGCTTTTGATAATGCTTTGATACATTTCCCTGTAAATATATTCCTGAGCATTCACCCTGGCATATGTATGTTTACTTGTAAACTGAACTGTTTAAATATATACATTACATAATGCAAAATTTTGAATGGTGAAACTTAAAATAAATAGCAGTTCTAAGATATTCCTCCTACAGCTCAGTTTGCAGACCACTGTTCAGAGACCAGGAGCTTCACTCCCACATTATCATCTGGAGATCACCAGGCCTTTGTAAATGAAATAAGCACAAGTACTCAGCACAAGCTGTCCATTTGATTTATCTACTTTCCCTCTTTGCTATGTGGCTTCTGTGTTCATTTGGGTTGTGCTGTCTTAGGATGGACCTCACCCCTGCCCTGACGGAACAGGAACCAAGGGACCCGAGGACCTACAGTGCCCTGAGAGCCCCTCCTGCCTGTGTGGCTCAGGACCTGACCGCCTCAGTAAGAAAGCGACAGTGATGGAGCCGGGCAGCTGGATGGCCCTGTTCTGGTCACCCTCCATTCGACTTTGGCGGTTTGGGAGGGGGTGGGGCACGAGAAACAGAAGTGGCTGTGTGATGTGTTCCTCTCCTGTGGCCATCTTGGCAGGCAACCAAGCAGTTGAGAACAGGCAGATATGACTTAAGGGTTTTCTGAACAAAAGAGGGCAGCAATTGAAAAAGAGGGTCAAAGTCTCATCTTGTTGGGCTCGGTTCCCTAGTGTTGGGTGAGGAAGTGACCCTTCATGCTTATGGAGGAGAGGGCCGGGGAGAAGCAGCCCTGCCTGCGGAGCACTGGAGTCAGGAAGGACCTTGATGAGCACCCAGAGCAAGAACGCGGGAAGGGAAGGGCTTGGAGAAGGAGACAGCCCTGCTGAGGTTCTCAGGGCTGGCTGAGAGGTTGTGTGGGCCTCAGCCTCCAGGAATGGCATCTGAAGGGTGCATCCTCTGAGCACGGCGTGTCTGCCTGCTTACTTTCTTTCCAGTGCCACAGGCAGGGCTCTGACAGTGATCTCATCCTTGCAGGGAGGAGGCAAAAAAGGGAGCAGAGAGACACCCTTAAGAACTGAAAGACTGAGGTGAGGAAAGGAGCCCAGGCCATCATGCCGGGAAGATGTGCCAACTGAGCCCTGTGCTGCTTAGACCTTGGGTGGGAAATGGGTTTCTATAGATAGGTGCATGCTGATGAATGTGTTTTCCCCACTTTATGTTTGTTTTGTTTCTTAGAATACCTTGGAAAATATAGCATTGTTTCACCTGAACTAAAGAGAAAAATTAAAGAAATAAGTGGCACACAGGCTGAGATGGGGGAATCAGAAGAAGCATGAGCAGAACAGCCCCGAGAGTCAGAAGGGATCCCTGCAGGGGATGGAGCTGAAGATGAAGGGTGACAAGCCCGGACGGTGCAATCTTCCTCCCTGGAGGGCTCCTGTGCCAGAAATTGCTTAAGCGGAATTCCCTGATAAGATGATGAATGGATCGGGGCCAACTTACCTTACTAGAATACTCCAACTCTGAGGATTAGTGGGCGAGGGTTCTGTTTTCTGCCTGCAACCAGACCCCCGTGGGAGGGCAGAAGATGGGCTTGAGGCTAAAGTGGCTGACAAAATGAGCCAGGTGGCAGAGGGCTGTCTGGCAGCCCCGGTGAACAGGCAGCAGCAAGCTCTTTCCCAGCTCAACCCAGGTCTTCTTGTCTGCGTGAGCAAGTAGCAATCTGACCTTTTGCTAAGAATTTTAACAGGAGAGTTCATCTGGAGCATCTCTTTTCACACATTCAAAACAAGGGAGTAATTGTACCGACCTTGGAGAAACATGACTTTCCCTGAGGCTCAAGGTCTGTTTCCTCCTCAGATGCCAAGAGGGACGTGAACAAAAGACTAGATCCCTAAAGCTTGTGGGTTTTCAAAGGCCAGGTTTGAGAGCCTCAGTTTGATTTTCTTCCTTCACAGAGTCTTGGGGAGAAGGCATTTTGGAAAGTCCTTTGAGAGCCACTGGCTTCTGAGCTATGTATCTTAGTACTGTATTTCTTTCAGAATGCTGTCTAATTCTTTCTGAAAAACCAGTAAAGGAGACTACTTAAAGTCCAAAGATCTCAACTCCTCTTGATTAGAAAATTCCTCCTAATTCTACCCTGATTTCATTCTGGTGAGGTTTACACCATTTCCTTATTCTTGCTCATGGGAAATAATTGTTCATATCCTCTCATAATTCCCTTTCACATCCTTAAAGATTTTTCTGCAGCAATTCCCTATGGGCTATGTGGTTCGGACTGATGTTACCTGTTGCAGCCTGGAGATTAAAGAAATAAGATGGACACACTGAAAGAGTGGAGGTGTGTGTGTGCATGTGCTCACATGCATGTATACATGTGAGCACACGTGCCTGTGTGAGAGTGGTTACTCAAAGAAGACAAATGCATAAAGCAATATGGCTTTGAAACACAACCAGAGATTTCAAGGGATCCAAAAGGTACCAGCATTTCTTAGAGACACATTAACAGATGCCCAGGATGTACCCTTGGCCTTATCAGAAACCTGCCTGGAGGAGGAGCACAATGGGAAAGGAGTGTGGTGACCTTGGAGGCATCTTGTGAAGAACAAGAGCATCACTTCCTTAAAGGCCATAAAAATAAGGTCAGAAAAAATAAAAGGACATGGAAATGGCAACACGTCTCTGAAGAAAGACTCCATCAGCTCCTCCCCTGGGGTGGTCGTCTCCTCATACTGATGGCTTTAGACCTGGCTCACGGTCCCCCTCTCCACACTGCTCAGTCATGAGTCCCAGTGACTTCAATGCCCATCCTTCTAATCTCTGCAGGGCCTCTCACACCCACGCCTCCCACTCCTCCTTTGCCTTTGTCCTCTGCTGCTTCAGCCCCTGCTTCCTTAGGTCTTCTCTAGACCAGGAACTGCAAGCCCTCTCGAATCTGAATCTCAAACATCCCACCCTCTCATCACCTTGATGCCAGAGATGGCTGCATGTCCACACAAATTTGTAATCTCTCTTCCATAGTATGGTTATCTCTGCGGAGGGCCTGCCCACCCTCTGCATGCCCATGAGACTAGTTCTTGCCAATGAAGTGTGAGTGGAAATGATGAGAACCACTTCTGAGCCCAGGCTGTAAAGAAATGAGTTCTCTAGTTCCCTTTCTGTCAGCCACATGCAGGTGATCATGGGGCTCTAAGGCATGGCAGAGCTACAAGATGGAAGAGGCCTGGGTTTCTGAAATAGTGTATGGAGAACTATCTGCTGAAGAGGCACTCTTGCTTTTAGTTGTCTTGCTAGTAAGAAATAAACATCGATTGTTTCTGAGGCTTAAATTCTGAAGTCTGTTTGTTTTGTCCACTCGCAAACCCTGACAAGTAACAGTCTGTCCCCTTGGCCCTCACTCCCTGAAGTTCCGACATCATCGATGCTTCAGTGCCACCCTCTGGTCCATTATCCTGCTGCCCTTTCACTTTCCATCACACCTTGATCACTTCCCTTCCCACCCAACGGGGCGTCCATGGTCCTCATTATGCTCCCTCCTTGCACACCCACTCAAATACCTGCCTTATCTTTCACTGCACTGCACCCTCCCAGCAGTACCCAACCCCAGTTAATTACGGTCCACCCACTAGGTGCCTGCAGTTGCAGAGCTAAATGCGACAGGCGGAGTACAAAACCTTGCTGACTTTAAGCTGATGGCCACTCCCAGTGGACCCTGGCAATTCCACCAGCCTCCCCTAGGTTAGTCAGTCTCCTGTTCTCCTGATTGACCAGAGCACACCTTCCTCTTCCAAAACGTCCATACCTTCTCTCTCATGCTCATTCTCAGTTGATGATCTTGCACCTAGTGCCTAAGAACTGCCTATAGCCTATTCTTAACTCAGAAGCCAGAAAAGGCCTTAAAACCAATACCTGATCATGTCAGTTCTCCCTAAAACCCTGCACTGGCTGTCCATCTACCCAAGCTGAACCAGTCTTCACAATAGTCCTGTCACCTCTCTGACCCAAAAACCCACCATTCTCTCCCTCACTTTGCTACAGTCACAGTGGCACCAATCCCTGTCACATTCCTGCTTCAGGGCCTTTGCACTTACTGCATGGAGGACATCTCCCCCAAGCATCATCTGCATGCATTACTCTCATTTCTAAGCTGCTGCTCAAGTACCACCTTACTATGAGACCTTCACTGAATAGCCTGTTTAAAACAGAAAGTGTGCTTCCCACCCCAGCACTTCCTATCCTACTCTACTTTATTTCTCAAAATAGCATTTATCACCGTCTATTTATTTAGTTAGTTAATTTATTGTCTATCTCCATACACTAGAATATAATCTTCATAGGGAAGCTATTTTGTTCATTTCTGTAACAATGCCGGGCACATAACAGATACAAAATAATTATCTGTAGAAGAAAAAAGATAGGAAGGGAAGAAGGGAGGAAGAGAGGGTGACAGGAAGGAAGAAGGAAGGTTGCTCCCAGGCATGAGATCCAGCTTCCCAAGCCTGGAAGACCCAGAGCAGTTTGGATGCAAGAGGACACAGTTAGGCTGAAGTCAGCAGATGAGTCCTCCTTCTGGGTTTCAAGGTCTCATCTTCTCTGTGCCAGGGGTGCAGCCTGTTCTCTAGCCTCTCACTACTGTGGAAGTTCTCTGGCCTCTGCCCAGCATTGCTTCTAGAGGACAAAGTGCCTCTGTGTGATACTGTGGGCGACAGAGAATGGTTTCCTAGTGCTGGCTACTTACCTCTGCTTATTTAGCTATGTAACAGGATTTCTTGAATAAAAGCTCAATGTTAGCTGGTTGCAGTTTATTTTGATGCCATGGATGAATTTCTGCTTCTGATGCCTGCTCTCTTTCACTTGTTCTCACAGCCTTGCTGTGGCACCCCTTTTGGCCCTGCAGAGCCCCGCAAGGAAAGGGAGGAATTAAGAGGAAGAAAAAGTCCTTGGAGCTCACAGGGAACTCAGGGGCCCTCTAGCACAAGTTCATGTCACCCCCTAGGACCTTGGAATGGGCTTCAGAGATTTTGTAAATTCCCTTGACTTTTTTGAGTATTTTTCCTGGGGAGAGAGTCTACAGCTTTCATCTTATCCATCAAAAGGTTAAGAACTCTGATTTAGTTCAATCCCTCAATTTACAGATGAGAAAATGGAAGCACAGAGATGTGGATTGACTTGCTTAGGGACACAGGATGGCTAGGACTTGAATTCATGTCTTCTTTTCCAAAGCAGATGACAGATGCAAACATACTTTGCAAAATGTCACAGGAGTCCTCACTGCCAGTGACCTCTGGGATGCCAATGGGTTGAGCCGCTGGTGGCTGAGGCCTGTGGAACAGGGCTCTCCAGGCTGCATGTTTGGGGCCTGCCAGGGGCCACCAGTTGCTGACTGCCCACAGTGTCTACTCCATAGCCAGAGGGAGGAGTGTGGGGGAGATGAGTGCCCTCCTCCAGGATTTTGTGGAGACCAGCAGAGTCAGGGAGTCAGCTGTGCTGGCTCTCATTCCCCCTTCACCTGTGACTTATTCCCTGGGCCTTCTAAGGAAGAAACTATTTTTCTGCCTCAAGACCAGCCCAGCATAATATGTCCCAATAACTTTCACTTCCCCTAACTCTTTTCAGTGGGGGCAAGCTCACTCAGCTCTCTGCCCTTGGCATGCAAACAGCTTCTGAAAACCCCACATCTTCCATTAGGATGAAAAGAGGTACCTACCAAACTTGCCTGTACAATCCTACTTGTAGGTAGGATTCAGTCCTTACCCCTGAGTTGGAAATACTTTATTACCTGTTTGCATTTTGGTTTGGCCTCTTCCAAGGCACTTTGGGTTATCTCAACAACCCTTTCAACTACCCTAGTAGGTAGATATTAATCACCATTTCACAGAGAGGATGTTGGAACTGAGCAGGTGATTGACTTGTCCAAGGTCACTGAGCTGCTGGGGGCAGCTCTGGGAACTGAGTCTGGATTACATCTTCTCTCTACCCTGGGTCTCTTGTTTGTGATCTTTGCAGTTTGGGCACTTAAGACTTCAAGGGCCCCGAAAGCAGGGACTCTGCACAGGTAACTTCTAAATGTTTAATGCAGCCCCTGGGGTTGCTTCTGCCAATTACCACAAAGAAGGGAAAAGCTTGGCTCCTGCCTTCCTCCTCTGATCAGCTGAACCAGGCACGGAGACACCCCAGGTGAATGTCACAGGACTGTCAGCTACAGAGGCTCAGCCAGGGGCAGGTGGGGGGTGGGTGGCAGGGCTGCTGGCAGGGAAACCTGGGACTGGAAGGGGCACCCACCACCTATGAGCTTGAAAATGCCTCTTTGTTAGAAGCTCACAGAAACCACCATGGAGGGAAAGTCACATGCTTCTCTCAGATGGGCTCTGCTTCCATGGAGCCCAGACTCTGAGAGGCTTGGATTTTCCATGGGAGCCAGTGGCAGGGCTGGGGTAGGTCCTGGACCCAAGGCACTGCCAAGGCAGAGGCAGAGTGTCATGAACTGGTCACCGTGTAGTCTCCCAGTTGCTAAAAGTGTTTCATTTCCCTCTTCTGATCCAAGTGGCCACCATCTCACCCCTCATCCCCTTCCTGACTGGCGTTACTATACCAGATATGTTAGCATATTCTTTTATTCCTGTGCAGACATTTTTAAAGGGTAACAATAGAAACATTATTTTTAGCCACTATAAAGTGCCACAAACACTATTCACTAGCTTCTCGGCTAAAAAGCAAAAGCCCAGCAGAGGCACTTGAGCAGCAAAGATCTATCAAGGAATGGGGTGGGGACCCTTAATGAATGCCTCTCCATCCTGAGCACCAACCCACGGTGGCGGTCAATTCTGCAAAACCGCGGGAGGTGCTGTCAATGCATAGGGATATACCCGCAACTCCCACTGTTGGTCTCCCCACCCTCCCCCAACCCCACAGGTCATCTTCCACAAGGGACTGCTGCTGGGGAAGGGGACTGCTGGTCCCATCAAGGTGAAGCCCAGGGGTCCATCAGCACCAGCTGAGCTGGTTTCTTTCATCTTCAGCGCAGATCCTAAGGCCCCGCCCGACCTGTGGCTGCCACCATGCTAGGTCACCCTGAGGCTGGGCTCCGGTGGCAGATTTCCACTGTTGGTGGTGAGGAAAAGGCTGAGCACTTGCTCTCCAGCCCGCCTCCTGGGGTCCCAGCCACAGGGTTATGAAACTAGGCTGGTCTTTTCCCACCAGAGAGGGGAATCAGACAGCAGCCTAGAATAGCCACAGGACCAAGGTGGCCTTGCTATCTGGGAGAGAGATGACACCCCTCACACAGCACTAGGGGTGTGGGAGGAGAGCTTGAGCTTCAAACAATCGCCCCACCCAGCCCCAGAGCCCCACCCTATGCACACAACCTTCCAAATGGGGCCTCTGGCTTCTGTCAGGAGGGCCAAGTGACATCTTGGCTCCTGACCTCCAGCTCATCCAGCAGGGTATTCATGTCCAAGGAAAGGGGCCCCAGTATTAGCTGATTCACAAGCACACCTTTAACTGCTCGCTCTGTGCTCCCACGTTCAGTGAGTTGTAAAGTCTTGTCAACTCAACCTTTACAGGGTCTGCCCCATCCTCTCTACCTCCACCCTAGTGACAGTGGAGGGCAGAGTCCGCACTCTGGAGCCAGATGACCTGGGGTCACTTTTGGCTTTATCACCAACTAGTTGTGTGACCTGTAACACGTCACAGTCTCTTTTAGGTCTGTTTCCTCATCCATAAAACAGGGATGATAGTAAGCATAGGGTTGTCATGAGAATTAAGAGAGGTAATCTGTGACAAGGGCTTAGAACTGAGTGTAGTCAATTAAGTGCCAGATAGAGGTAAGCTATTTTTGGGCCAGGCTAGCATTTGTGCCTTTGAAAGCTCCCTTGGCCATGAGATAAAGTACAAATAGAGTGAGAGGCAGCAGTGGTGCAGAGAGGAGAGCCAGGAACAAGGTCAGAGGGCCTGAGTGTGACTTTTAGCTACTACTCATTCCTTAGCTGGGTGACCCTGAATCATTCTGCATCTCAGGTCCCTGGTCTATGAAACAAAGGATGATGATGCTATAATAGTGTTGAGGATAAAATGATAAAAATATAGGAAAGTGACCAGCCTATCGTAGGTGTTAGCTACATACTAGAGGTCCCATATGATTTCCAGGCATACCAAACCATCATTCTACACATTCTGTACACTCCATCCCATTATCTGATTTCCTATCATACTTATCTCCAGAAGCCAGAATTTCCTGTTATTTTATAAAATATAGCCTTTATTTTTTTGAAGCAGCTTTAGATTCACAGCAAAGTTGAGTGGAAAGTACAGAGTTCCCATATATCCCTTTCCCCTCTTCCCAGTGCTTTTATTTTATGGAAAAGAAATGAATTGGTTGGGTGAATAGGCTACCTATACATTTTTGCCTTTAGGCCTCAGTTTAGGGGCAGAGTCAACAGGATCCCAGAAGCCTGTGTGTTTATCTTGGGGTGTGGGGCAGAAGCCCAGGATTCCTTTTTTGCAACGTGTATAGGGGATGAGGGCCAGAATAGCCTGTGGACACACTTTGGGGCCAGGAACCTGTTTATGCGGCGGGAGGATGGCTGAAGAGGAAGCTGAGGGAGCTTGGCCTCGGGGGCTAGTTAGTAGGAGGCTGCACTTGCACCACATCAAGACTAGTGTGAAGGCCTTTGTGATCTTTTTCCCTTGCCTGACCCAGCCAAGGCCCTTGTAAGTACAGACAGTCCACACCAGGGAACTCTAAACACCTCCCTTTACTCTCCACTTCACCAATGCTTTGGTGAGGAGATTGGCCCAGGTTTTCCATCTTAACTCTCTGTTGCAATGAAGGTATGAAAGAATCAAATTAAAAATGCAGACTGCTAAGGCCTGTTAGAAAGTCTAATTTAGTAGGTCTTGGTGGGATCCAGGAACCTGCATTTTAAAAAGCTACATAGTGATTTTGGTACAGGAAGTCTTACAACACTGTTAGGTAGAATTCCTGAAAAATAAAACTACCTCAGATAATCTCCTGGGGGAGGCACTCTTCCCCAAGATAGTGGGCTCCTTCAGAACAAGGTATTTGCCTTGTCATCTTCAGACAACAGTGCCAGAGTAAGTATTCAAGGGGTGTATCACCCCAGGATGCGGGCTGAGAAGCAGTTTTCAAGACTTGGCTAAAGGCTCCAGCAGGTGGGCAGGAACCACTCCTAAAAGAAATATTCTGGAAGAGAGGAAAGCTGCAATTCTTTGAAGATCCTTAAATGAAATGGATCAGGAAGGACTCGGAGTAAGAGCAGCAAGATAAATATAAGAGGTGCAAACGGAAAGATACTGAAGTTAAAACTTCCAAGTGTTGTCATTGTCAAACCTGCTATAAGGAACATGTAATTCAGGAGAATAATCATATGCTGCCATGAATAATCATATGCAACTGAAACCTGAGAAGGTGTATGAGGTGGGTCTGCCAGACTTTCCAGGGTAAGAACAAGAAAGCTGGTCTTACAAATACCCATGGGTACAAATACCCAAAGAACAAATACCCTTGTTCTTTATGAGCATAAAGAACAAGAAAAAAGTGAGTTGTTTTCCCCATAAATTATCTAATACTTTTAATGCTATAAATGCACAGCCGTGGCTCTCTAACTGGCTTATTCTCTGGTTGTTGGGAGTTTGATTTTTGAAGCTAGAAAACTGGAAAAGCTATCATATTAACAAACTGTAGCTTAGTCATTTCAGTAGGTCTGGTAACAAAGTTTAGTCTGTTTTATTTCTAACCCAAATATTGCAAATATACAGAAAATTACCAGTACAAAGTTAAACACATCCAGATTTATTTACAGAATGCTAAAGAAATTTGAGTTTTCCCATTTCCATTTTGTGGAATTTTATTATGGGGTCTGGCTTTGTTGTGTTCCTGATATGGGTCACTGAAACTTGATTGATTATCCCACCTCACATGCAATTTTTTGTTTAAATGGAATAGCAAAACTTGGGTTTTTGGCGCACATGCAGTAGTGATCTTAATACTGCTTTACACTTCAGTAAGAATGCAGCTGTACCACAGCTTGGGGAGGGGACAGAGAAGTTATAGAACAGGGAGGGACCACATGCTAGGAAAGGTAACAAGAGACAAGAGAGGGTAGAACAACAGGCACACAGGGACCCTGAGCATTTCTGTGCACAAGTATGATGAGGGCATGACCAAAACCCTCCCTCCCTAGATGTCTAAACACAGGAGGTGGGCAGAATCATCAGGGATCATTCACGTCAAACTGAGGTCATGCGGAGGATGAGAACTGCATTAAAGATTTGGGACATATCAACAAATCATTAACATGTACTATACTATACAGTTTATATATGTATATATGTACACACACATATATATAATAAAGGTACAGATTAGTTCATGTTATTCCATATAAACAAGGGTGCTTAAGAATGTACTGGTGTGAAAAAATTCATTTGGCAAGTTACTGAAGACAATTTCAAATTAATGTTCTGATTCTTACTGTTCTAGTGCGACAGCCAAGAAATGAACATGCTCCTGCTCTTTCAGTTTTTCTCCATGAGGCCAGACCAGGCTCTGCTGGGGCAGGACTGGGCTCCCAGAGCTGCTGAGCTGGACAGTCAGCGGCTGATGCAATAGAAATTCCAGCACCTGCTGAGTGCCCTTCACTCCATCAGGCAGCCAATCTTAAACTTTGGTTTTGTTCAAAGGACATTTAAGTCCATGTTGTTTTTCTGCTTAAGAGAAGGTAATAGCAACGTTAGAAAGTGGATCTCTCCTGTTTAGCAGTTGCAAGTATGCAGGTTTCACATGTGGTTAAGGGTTGTGTCAGCAATGAGCAGGATGACACTGTAGCCACTGCGTATCAGGGCAAGGGGTCTTTAGAGCTCTCCTAAAAGGACAGAGAGAATCTGTCTACCTGTGTGAATTGTCTGGAAAATAAATGACTGAAGCCAGGCCAGCCTGCCACCTGGGGTGGGTGTGGACAGCCCCACACTCCTTTGTATCCTGTTATCGTGATGAAGGTCATGAAAAGAACCAGCTGTGGTTTAAAGAACCAAATGCATTGACCGGAGGTGGTCAGCACATTACTAATCTGTGAGGGATGAAAGGCCAGCTTGGGCATGGAGAGGCCCAGAGGCAAACCTAAGAGTGAGAGAGACACATATTGAAAGCCTATTCAAAGCAGAGGGCAAATTCTAAGTTTCAGTTATAGCAAATCTATTGAATCTCCTGAGTCCAGCCTAGAACTGCCACAGCCCTCCAAATACTTATTCTTCTAAGTGGTGTTCCCATTCAATTAACAGCCAAGGTGTATGCATCCCTGGTCTCTGGTCTCACTAAAAAGACCCTTTAGATCCAAGACTCCTATCTACAGAGCAGGAAGGATGGGGAGTTCTCCACCTGGATTTAAGAGTTCATACCACTGTGGACAGTCTGATATGTCCAACCTATAAAATACCACGCTAAGTCCTACTGCTGAAACTCCAGAAATAATCTCTTCTACTTGCATCAAGCCTGAGACTTTACACAGTGATATACTATGCTTTACTTTCAAAGATAATGCCTCTAACCTCAGTGAAACAAATTAGAGATCTTTTTTCTTAGAAACTATCATGGATTTAAGCTGTTTTACTCTGAGGGCATACAGTTGTGAATAAGCAGGCTGATGTAGAAATTAACTAGCCAATAAAGGGAATGAACCAGGTTTCTTAGCAGTCCTCAAAACAGCTGAGCTAGCTAGCTTGCCAGCCAGGGATGGGAAAACAAGGACACGGAAGGGAGATTCACCGATGGAGATTCCATTCCTGCACTCTTGCACAGTGACCCTCAAAGAGGTGAGGGGCAGTTTCTAAAACACATATTCAAAACTACCATTACTCTTGTTTTCAGCCATGAGAAACAGAAGAATAAAATTTCCTGTTTACCAAGGTGGCAAAAGACGCTAAAAATACTGCTGTGACAGAAATGCCACTGATTCCTACCCTAAAGAAAAGCAAGTCACCTGCAAGAAGGAAGCCCTGTTCCAAATATTCAGCACTTGCATGCATAAAAATATTTAAGTTCTGAAGACAATCAACTGGCATTCTTGTAACATACAGAGACACCCTGGACAATTTACTCAATTTTTGTACCTCTGCTCCATCTCCTAAAAAAATGGGGATTTATAACCCCTTTAGACTTTCACAAGAATGTTGTGAAGCTCAAATGACATAATGTAAGTGAAAGTGCTCTGAAAATTGTCAAGTTCTACAGAAATCCCAGATACCATTATAAGCGAAGAGCCCTGTATCTTATATGGTTAGAGAAGAATATTAACTTTCCTACATCTTAAAACTAACCAGAGAATTACCATGTATCAGCCCATGTACCCCAGTGGGTATTTGCTGGTAAAAAAGGTGTATGGTGTAACTAGGTCTTTTCTGGGTACCAAATTCACTTTGGACAGGAGGTAAGGGTGTCCAGGACAAGACCTGACACTCTATTATTTGTGAGCTGATTTATCTTTGGAATTATTTACAAAATCACACAAAATGAGCTTTACCTAAAAGACCAGTGCTCTCTAACAAATATTCTCTTAACAAAAACTGCTCGAACTTTATTTTCTAACTGAAGCTCCCTGACTCATTTAATTTTACTGTAGTTTCAAAGTTCCTAAAATTCTCCATTTACTCCCTCCCCCACTTTCCCTGCTGTTGTTGATCCATTCTGGTGAGAAAAGAATTTAGCCATCTGCTTGCTGCTCATTCTGACAAAAGTTAATTTGGCATGATAACTTTTTACTGATTTTCTAGCCACAAAATGGACTAGCAGCTGGCTAAATGGAAGTTACCAGAGAGTGTCCCAATCATACTTAATGGGAGACACTGTGACCAGCACAGTTAGGTATGCTGACTGAAAACATACTGTATTAATGTTAGCAAATATTCAAGCTGTAGTAAAACTAATTATCGCAGCTTTCCATTACTATATGGTCACCCCAAAGTCCATCTCACTACATTCTATAATTTATTTAATTTGAAAAAAATGTCAAATGGAAAACTTCTTAAACTTAAAATATGAACTTAATATATCACACAAAACATGATCTATATTGGAAGTACATTTTCACTTTTTCACAGCCAAAAGTTTCATGCCAACAAACTACTTGGCAAAGCTGGGGAAAAGGGTGAGGCGGAGAACCTGGTAATAAAATTCTGATTTTTAAAAAACAGCCTATAAATCTGAAACATGACTAATCCCGGCTCCATGTACAACAGCAACCTAAGCAGCAGCAGGTAAGCAGCCATTCTAGTGATTCACCAGTGCTTCATACAACAGGCAGACGGGGACAAGGGCGACGGTGATGCTCTGTCTCAGGGGCTGCACCCTCAGCTCTAGTGAAGAGGCCACTCAGCCCGGGCAGATACCCGGGGCAAGCCTGAACCCTGTCCTTGAGCAAGTACACTGGCACACACACAAAGCATGGCTTGAAAGACCTCAGAAGCATGAATTTCTCCTTAATAGGTGCTAAATCTTTTAAATTCTCTAATGCTCCCTTCTTCCTGCCTCAAGTTAAAAATGTTGCCCATTAAGTTTTCCTGGTTTAGTGTCTTGGAAGCCCACGGTTAAGTCAGTGCCAAAGGGCAATCAACAAGGGTATTGTCTAATTAAACAGGGGAAAAGAAAAATCACTGTGGTCTATGGGCCCCTGAAACAGAACAAAACAAAAGCAGAGATCTGTGTGAGGAGCTCACATGCACTGCTCTGGGAGCAGAGCTGCCTCCAGAGAGAGGCTGCCCGGTTGTGCCAGCCACTGCAGCCTCTCCATTCACCCCTGCAGCCTTGCCTGCTGCCAGCAGAGCCCGGGGGCAGCAGCAAGCACGTGTGGGAGCTGATGCTGGGGTGGCAGATGCCCTGAGGCAGGCGCCATGCAAAACATGCAGCAGTGCAGTTACAGAGTTCTTTTCAAATTCCATTTCAGCTCCCTTAAAAAAAAAAAACCCAAACAAAAAGAGCCCATACTTTGCAAAAAGACATAACTTGAAATTAAAAGTTAAAGAATTTAAATATCCTCTCTTTTCAGAGCAAATTGTTAAGAGTGTCTAGAGTTCCCCACCCCACCCTCACATTTCTTTTGTGTAGGTCCTTTTGGCTTTGATGGAAGCAGTGGAAACAGAGCTGGGTCCCTTGCAGCGGGAAATTTATTTCCCCAAGTTGGAGCCACAGGGAGTGTAAGAGGTATGGCAGTTCCATCATCCATGCTCAGTCCCAGCTCCCTGGAGTAGCTATTCCAAGAGGTCCTGAAAAGACACAGACCATATTACTTACAGATAAAGAATTTCTATTTTGAAAGCAATTCCCTAGTTTCTGGGCTAGCCAAGCCATATAGTCACTCAGCTGCTGCTCTTAGCTTCTAGCCTCCTGTGCCTCAGTCACACTTGACCAAGAATAGGAAAAGAATCACTCTTCTTTTTGTACTTCTGGGTCAGCCCTCAAGAAGAAATAGTCTCACCTCATCTGAGTCGTCATGATAACCACTTTTATTAGTGTGAGAGGCTGTGTGCAGACCATCTCCACTATCCACGCCATTGGCCTCTGCGTGCTGCTGTAGCACGGAATATCGGTGCACCAGGAACCTGTGGATGGAAACTTCTGTCAGCCTGCATGTGGTGGGGATGGGTGCCCTCCTTATAGAGCTGTGCATTTCCCAAGTTTTATAAACTCACAGAATGAATCACACATGTACGAAGCACAGCCCTTAGCTGCCATATGCAAAGTATAAGATCTGAGAAGATTTGGGCCTGACGTTTCAGGAATATCACTTCAACTAGCTACTTTATTTCCCAGGACCAATTCAACCATGTGCCCTTGGCAGACTTTCTGGTTTGAATTCAGTACCTCTGATTGACTTCCATGTTCCTTACCTTCCACCACAGACGTATTTCTTCACAATAAGCACTCCTGCTACGACTGTAACCAGCATCAATCCCACAGTGGCCAGGATAATTGGAACAGAATTTGACTTGGAATTCTTCATAAATTAAAACACAAACACAAAAAATTGGGGCATATATACTCTAGGACTGAATTCAAGAAGCTGCTTATTCCCCTCATTTCCCTGTGAATGATCTGCATTCTCTAGGCACTTAATGATGATACTTTTCCCATCCCCCAAGATGAACCATCTCAATGCTACCAGGAGAATGTCACAGCTGGGAGAGGGCAATCAGAGCTTCAACTGCTTTGAAGCTGTCAGAATGGTGCAAACCCAGTGGCTTCAATGTCAAAGTTACACTGGAAGCCTTAGCAACTGTCTAGATCAAATGGTAGTTGTGCCTGTTCCCCACTACCACTGTTCATAAGTCTTGGAGTCTTTAAGGAGAGGAAGACTGTGATAATAGTGGGCTGAATGACTCTAGAGCATGGCCATTACCTGGGAAGAAGCTGTGCCAATGCTATTTCAGGCAGGCCATCACATGACACCAAGATTTATTGTTTTACTTAATTTTTGGTAAGTTTTTACAAATAAGACTTTCATATCATTGTTTGAGTGTGACCTACCTGCTTCTGGGTGGGAGATAGGGAGTGTGTGTTTTCAATGTATCCAAGAGGAGGCGGAGCTGGATTCTGGGACAAGTTGTGTCCCTGTGGGCGGAAGTCCTGTGCAATCACACACACACAAACACTCTGAGGACAGCTGCCAGGAGTGCAGGGCGGGGGTGCAGGGGAGGAGGCACTTGCCCCCTGACAAGTACACACACCCATACAACATTCCTCTCTCTCTGCCTTCTTAGTCCCACCCCTTGTCAGGCCCTCACAGCTTGGCAGATTAGAGAGGAGGGAACTGCAGACTGTTCACCTCTCCTTTTACAAATTAGGCAGTGGGGCCCACAGGTGATTGCCCCAAGTGACACTGCTGGTCCAGTGCCTCCTTATCAAGAGGTTTCCTCTTTACTATCCCCCCAAACTCCCAGGCACATAGGTCAGTACTACAGGTCTGTAATCAGCCCCGTAACTTGATTCTTAATGAAAACCAGCCCAGTATTACCATAGTTCAGTTCTTTTCTTTCTGAAAATAACTAGCAGGGCTCTGCACAGGTCCACCCTAACTATGGTCCAGTGCTCTTCTCTTCCACACAGACAACATTCCAGCCTGTTATGGCCAAACTTCTTGAGTCTTTTTCCTATATGATTTGGAGCCTCAGAAATTTCCTCAAGTCCACACTTCTAAGTTCTGGAACAACTTTACTGAATACCATCCTTACTCCCCCCAAAAAAGGTTCCAGTAAATGAGCTTTACCATTGGGCTTTGTGACCCACCCTTCATCCTACCAGCTTCCTGTACAAAGGGATGCCTCACAGAAGTAGTTTGGCCACCTTGTATTCAAGAATAAAATTCCTGATGCTGTAACTTTAATTATTCCTGGAAGAATATGAAACCCTACTTGTTCCTAAACCACATCTACTTTAACGTACCTGTTTTTCTGGACTCAAAAAGTTGCTTGTGCATTTCTTTTTCAAGTCTTTAACTTCTCGAACTGGATTCACGCCGCCTTTGCATCTGTCTCCTGGAATTTTCCGGTACCTGAAAGGCAGAGAAAATTTGTTAACAGAATACAAGGATATATTTCTGGATTCTGGCCTATTTCCTGAAAACAAGATTTGAAAAACTATAGAGAAGTTTCTCATCCTTACACCACCTTTCAGGCGGGGATGGGGGAGGGGAGTGGAGAATCCGTAAAGACGTTTTGGGGATGTTTTGCAGTTTTCGGCCTTGAACAGACCAAGCATCCCTGGCCTCTCTGTAGGCATATGCCCACCTTTCTGCCTTAAGACAGTGTGCCAAAGAACTGTGACCCCAGGAAAGCATGTAAATATGTGGTACAAAAAACAGCAGAGGGCAAGCATTTATCATGCGAGGGAAGCAATGAGGCTCCTCTAGAGCAGCACTGTCTCACGTGGTGGCTATTTATATGTAATTAAATTAAATTAATTTGGCTACTTGGTCACACTAGTGTCAACAGCTGCTGGAGGACTGTGGCTACCATGTCCAACCCAGCAGATGAGAGAACACCTGCACCATCACGGAGTGCCCTAGCAGGCGGTCTCTCTCCCGCGTGTCCTCCCATGCTGTCAGGTTTCTGTGCAGAGGCAGCACTCCCTTGGGACAGCAGCAACTCATCCGTCAGCACGGGGGTCACCTCACCCACTCGTCGTCAGGTGCTCTTCTCTTCCATGCAGACAAAACTCTAGGTCATGGCCCTTCAGCTCTGGTTGCTCCACACACTTGGAGTCATTTTCTGGACGGAAGTAGCCAAAATCACTGCAAGAGTAAGCAAATAAATGCTCTTTCAAAGTTGCTGAAAGATGGAGAGTGCTTAGCAATGAGGGCGTTAGGTGGGGAAGTGGGTGGTTGATGTTCCAGTCTTGAGTTGCCAGGGAGTGTGTCAGGAAGGCCTGAGACATCTGTAAAGAAGGCCCATTTTTTCCCCCAACAAAAAAGTTTTCAGTATATGAACCTATCATTGGCTTATGTAACCCATTTTGACTCCATCCAGACATGGAGGGGGCTTAACTGGGGGCAAAAAATAGCTTGCAGTGGACTCAGGACTCAGGGCTAGACAGCTCAGGCCCAGGAAGGGGATGACTGCAGTCCCACTCACCTGGCAGCTTCTCCTCAGCCTACACTTGTCCTCTTCATTCACCCTTCTCTCCTTACTGACCAAATTTCTGAGTATTTTTTACTTGTTCTATTTTACTCATTTACTTTTTATTTTGTGCACTCTGGCTTCAACCCCCTTTGCAACCTTGAAAATGTGTCAGTGGCACCAGAGCTTACAGGCAACCCAACCCAGTGCAGCCTGTCCACCTGGTCGGTGGTAGGTAGCACACTGTCCCACTCCTATCCACCTTGACGCTGCAAAGCTACACTGCTCTGTTTCTCTAATCACTGCTTGCTCTGCTCTCTTCCTAACCCATAAATGCCCCCTTGGTGAGCTGAACTATTGGTTTGAATGAAAACTTCTAGGTCTTTTCTTTTAAACTCTTATCTTAGATTTCCAAATACCTGCTGGACATCACCACCTAAATCTGCTGACAGAACCTCAAATAAATAAAACATTAAAAACTCATGTTGTCTCCCTTATGACAGCCTCTCCTATCATCTTCTTCTGTTTGACCATGACACCACCTTCCTTTCTATCATCTAAGTTGAAAATTCAACCTGAGCACCCCTATCTGAACCTAACTGATGTCTTTATTGTGACGTCTGTGACTTCCCCTCAGGACCTATCTTCTAGCACATCCTTCCTATCCACACTGTTGGGTGGCTACGTTCATACCAGTCCATTGGCTTTAATGATCTGCTTCTTCCTACATACACATGGCCAAGTCCTAAGGCTCACCAGGGCTCAGTGCAAATGTCACCTCCTCAACAAAGCCTTCTTTGAGCCACCTGCTTTCAGCTGTAGATGGACCAGTCTCTCCTTTCTCTAAATCCCCAAGGCACTTTACTTTCTATTTCACAATATAATTACGTGCATCTTACCAGGAGATTCTATAACAAACTCTCCATTATCACTGTGTGCTACCTTGTGCACAGCAGATATTCAGGGAGTACTTGGGGACTGTACAGATGATGCTTGTGCTTAAATATTTTCTGAAAATATTTAAGGGAGAGGGTAGGGAGAACAAAAGATGCAGAAGACACTACCTTCCAATAGCAGGGGGTAACTTCTGGTAAAAATTTTAAGCATTTGGTCCAAAATTTCAAGGAAAGTAACCTTCCTACTCTCAAAGTACGTGTTTCTCAAGCATATGAGGTATGGTGTGTGGGCTACTGAGCTAACTGGCAGCAGGTTCACATCCCAGCTATACTACCTCCTGGCTGAGTGACTACGGGAGAATCAGTCATAACCTCTCTATACCTTCATTTCTCCCTCTGTGACATGCAAATGACAACAGTACCTAATTCACAGGGCTGCTGAAGTTAAGTATAAATTGCTTAGGACAGTGTTTCATACTGATTTGTGCACAATAAACATCAGCTACTATCATTGCTACCACACGATTATCAAATATAACATGTCCTCAGCAAGTCCAGGGTTTAATGGTGGAACCAAGCCAAGGCACAGGAATGAAAACACACAACATACTGTAAAAGAGGTACTGCAGGAGCCTAGGTGGGGAATGTCAGCACTATTTACAATAGCCAAAACTGGAGGACGCTTTAAAGAGGTGATATCTGAGCTAAGTATTAAAGGCCAAATAGGAATTCACTAGGCTTGAGAGCATCAGGCAGGGACTGTGGAAAGACTGTCAGGGCAGAGGAAGCAGCCTGTGCAACGGCATGCAGCTCTGAAGTAGCACAACATGTTTTGAGAAGCTCAGGTAATTAAGAGTCTAGTTTGTGTGCAGCCAAGGATGGAAATGAGCCCATAAGGGTTGTACAGTATCAACAAGCTCTAGCCTCACTGTGACACCAAAGTGATCTGATACTTTTCCTGGGGAATCAGAGAAGGCAGGACTGCCGGCGTTTCCATAAACAGATGAGAGCCACACAAGAGCAACCGCACTGGGTTAGACTTGGGGTTTGCTCAGTCTTGTATTCTCTGTCACCTGCAGCTCAAGAGAGTGTGATGTGGGAGGACATGACTGTTATCTGCCTGCCTTCTTTTCAAAATCCTTTGGTATCTACTTTTATCTCCTGCCATCATCTTTTGCAAGTAACAGGTTCCACAAGATTACTACATGTGATGTGAATTTCCTCTCACTTGCCTGGCGTTACCTTGCTCAGGCCACCAGTGACTCCCTTGCCCTTGCAAAATCAACTAACTTGATGCCAGCCAAGTAACTAATCCTTAAACTGGAATGGCCCTGAACTCCAGGGAGCCCACCTTGATGGGATATGTGGACCATAAATATATGATGTCACCTCCTGTCACACTCTCAGCCTTCTGTCCTTCTGTCTTGCAGATCACCCCAAACCTAGTTCCTTACCTGCTGAACTTGGGCTGTCAGGCTATTTACTAAAGTCCAATTTCCTCTCAGCTCCTGTACCACTTTTCTTGGTATTTTTGTCCTATCACCTTCTATCTATTTTTTAAAGTTCTCTTCTTCCTTATCCTCCTCTCTCTCTCACTGCAGCCAAATCAGGATTTCTGGCGGTTGTTGCTGGGCCCATCCCATAAATAACTGTCTGATAGGATAACTGTAACTGTCCAATGATTAACAACATTGGTTCCCTTCCTCTGTGCCTCAATTTTCTTAATAAGAAGCAGTTCTCCACTCCTGGGGAAGAAAAGGATTTAAATATTTTTCAGCCCTACAAGACAACTGTCTTTCCCCTCCACCAGCATGGGGAAGGGGCTGACAGAGATCTGAGAGATGCTGATACCAGAGGAAGTCCTCCAGGGAGCAGAGACAGACGGATGGCTGCTTGGTCACAACATAGTCCCGACCATTCTGACAGACAGATGACTTGCGTAGCCGTAGGTACTGTTCTTTATAGCCTAAAATGCAGCCATCTCCATAATCTCCAGGATCTGTGGAGTGAGCCAGCCATATGGTATAGTCTTTCTCTTCACCTAAAAGAAAGACAGGTTGTTCAGGTTACTGCATGGCACAGAACCCCTGTAAGGCAGCTGACAGGCTATAGGAAGAACAAGAAGAAGAAAAGTGGGGATGTCTGACTCAACCTTTGCTTCATCTTGGAACTGCAAACAGAAGTTAACATTAGAGGAAGCCTACTAGCAACTAGTATTTCCTCAAACCAAAGGAGGCATGTCATCACCCATTTGAGTATTAAGAAAAATCTTATTTGTTTCAAAGTGGCACTCTAGACAGAAGACTTACAGGGTTCCTCCCAAACTGACAGGCTGCTGTCTGTGTGACCTGCACACTTATACCCACGGTCAGCAGGAACTGTCAGAAGTGAGCAACCACACATTTTCCTTTACGAAAAGGTACCAATTAGTGAAAAGCATGGGTTCAATTTCACTGTGGGCTAGTTTGCTCCAAACAGGAGGAAAAACATTCTCTTCCTACACTTTTAACTCTAGTTGACTGACTTTCATATGAATACTGTTGATGACAGTCAACCTGGCTTAGTACATTGTATCATCCACTCTTAGAAAAATGACTCAAAGGCTATGGCCTAAAGACCATGGATTAGGTTCTTATCCTTCTGGATGTGAAGACCAGCACAGAGCCCATTAAACAGCAGGTGTTCAACAAATCTTTTAATGATGCTAAACTTTGGGTATAACTGTACACCTGCCTATTAATGGGAAAACTCATAAGCGAGCTTCTTTACAGCCTATTTAATGAACTCAGATAATAATGACTTTCCAATATTAAATGATATTCAAACATCTTATAGAAAAGTAAGGTGCAAACCTTATTTCTATTTCCTCCAAGAGTCACTGAATTAGCACTCTGAAGAAATGGACCCATAGTACAGTCTAATAAAAGTACCAAAATTTAACCAAAGCATCTTGAAACCTTAAGTCTTACATTATGCCAACAAGCAACAATAGATCACAGGGTGGTCACTTCTTCTTAAGTTTTTTCTTCCGTTTTTCATTTTTTGCCATACAATGTCAGCATCTTTGGTGCTTGGGCCTGGGTCTACTTGTGATTCTATAGGAACATCTTGCAATGAACATTTTAACTCCTTTTCTAAAGCCATTTTCTGGGCTTTTAACATGACTTCCAGTTTGAAGTCACAGAACTCTGAAGTGTTCAGTGTAGGCTTCATGCCCACCCAGTAGCCATTCTAGAGCATCACCTATGACTGACATTTAAGCCAAAACTTTTTGCATGAAACTTCCTCACTTAAGCATTTTGGTAAGTGGAACAGTTAGAGGCTCTTTGCAAACATTTTCCTCTAAAATTTCTTCTTCATAGTTTTGCAGTTACAGGGGGGAAAAACCTTGAAATATTATGAAATAATTTTAGACAAACACAAGCATGCACTACCCTTATAAGCAAAAAAAGTATCATAAAATTTCACATGTTAAGAGAATGAAACTGGATCACTGTCTAACCCCATACGCAAAAGTAAATTCGAAATGGATCAAAGACCTGAATGTAAGTCATGAAACCATAAAACTCTTAGAAAAAGCAAAAATCTCTTGGACATAAACATGAGCGACTTCTTCATGAACATATCTCCCCGGGCAAGGGAAACCAAAGCAAAAATGAACAAGTGGGACTATATCAAGCTGAAAAGGTTCTGTACAGCAAAGGACACCATCAATAGAACAAAAAGTCATCCTATAGTGTGGGAGAATATATTCATAAATGACAGATCTGATAAAGGGTTGACATCCAAAATGTATAAAGAGCTCATGCACCTCAACAAACAAAAAGCAAATAATCCAAT